GGTAAAAGAAACTTTCTTCCCGCTGATTTTATTCTTTTACTGTGATGGGAGCTATAAGAGTCACAAAAGGTGTAATAAAACACAGTTGTGCTTTCCACAGATAATATTCTAGGCTATATAAAAACACTTGAGATGGGAACTGCGTGAAGATAACTCACATTCTGTACCTTGGGTAGAAACGACTCCCAATTTTTATTTTTTTTTAAGAACCTGACAAAGGATTAAATCATCTCTTTTGTTGTTTCAAAAGAAAATAACCGAAGATGAGCAGCTAGCGTGGAAGGAATCGACCTTATGGGCTGAAACTAATCAACCTTTAACTCAAAAAATGCAGAAAAGGTTGTCCTGTATGACAAGAAGTCATTTGGCAGAAGAAATCACCTGGACAGAGAATCAAGTTGACCTAAAAGTAAAACGGTATTTGGTACTGTAGTCTGCCAGGGGGAAAAAAACTAGACAGCATCTTCTCCTCCAGGACTCCTCCATGACTATGAGCTCATTGGTCATTCAACTCATCAAGTGTGCAGGGAATTACTGTGGCTGTGACAGGACCTCACATCTTTGAGGAGCACAACACTGTGACCATGAGAGCGGTCTGCAGTAATCCAGCAGAGGTAAGGATCATCTCAAAAGATAAAAGTGCTATCATAGTGAAATATCGCAGCGCTTTCACCAATAACCCATGTCTCGGTCGTAACTCACTCTTCTTTCGAATCTTCATTTTCCTCCTTCGGCTCCAATGGCTTCTGCTCTGCCTTCTCAGCGTTCCCCTCAGTCTCTCCGTCGCCTGAGGTCTCCTCCTCAGCTGGGGCAGCTGAGGATGCAGGCTGCTCCGCGTCAGCAGGGGGCGACTCCTCTGATGCGGCTTCTGGGTCTTTGAAGTTAAAGAAATAAAAAAAGAACACTAAACAAAGATCTACGGAAAAGAATTAGGGCCACTGAAAACAAAAAAGTTAACTGATTTTTCAAATTTTATTTCAGGATATTCTGACTTTAATCTCCTATTTAAGTCACAATATATAATTAATATACAATTTATTTTTTCAATTCTGACTTTTTTCCCTCAGAATTCTGACTGAATTCTTTCAGCTAACAAACACGTTAGCATCAAGCTGTAGCAATGTCTGTTTTAGAGACTAAACTAGGTCTCTTCTTTTAATCACCTTCTGCTCCTCCACTAATGAAATAGCATCACTGGGGGCCCTCGGGCATTTAAAAAGTTGCCTAATTTCATAATTTTTCACTGGCCCTCCCAAACACCTCATATCAACTCACAAGGAGAGTCGGAATTCTGATGGAATATATATATATATATATATATATATATATATATATATATATATATATATATATAAAAAGAGTCC